CTGCAGGACCACGGCGGCGCGCTCCAGCCTCGCCGCCTCGCCTCTCGCCACCGTGGCCCGCCGTGCCGGGCCGACCGCCTGCGAGGGGGGCGGAGGGGAAGAGCAGCAGCACCGAGGGCCCCAACGAGGAGGAGAGCTGCCTCCTTTCGATGCGCCGCTCGCCCGGATGCCTGCCCGCCCCGGGTGCCCATTGAGAACCTCAGCGCCCCCTGAACGCGAAGTTCCGCTTGGTGCCCCCGGCGCCAGACTTCTTCGTGCCGCCCATGCCGGCGGGCTCGGGCGGCTTCACCGAATTCGCCTCTGCCTCCGCGGATTCACCAAATTCGCCTCCGCCTCCTCGCTGGGACCCTCGAGGCTGGAGGAGGAGGAGGGTGGCGAGCGGAAGCAGACAAAGAGGCGGCTTACAGATGGGCCTCGAGGCCTCCCAGATGGGGTCCGAGCAAGTGAGGTCGGGAGATCCCGCCAGATCGCCGATGAATCGCCGATGCAGCTGCGGCGTCGGCGGTGCAGTGGCGCTGTCGGCATGCAGAAAATCTGGTTCCGCATCGAGCCGCATCGCCGATGCATCGGGGACCCCACTTGGGAGGCCTGGCCCGCGATGCCTCCCAAGGGGGAGGGCAACAACATCGGGAGCCCCAGCGAGGAAGAGAGCTGTCTCCTACTCTCACGAGTGGCGCACGTATCCATATCCATGCCCTTGCGGTCTGGATTTTGGGGCACGATCCGGCGGATACGAGGTCGCACGAACACGTTTCGCGCGGGGCATTCGCGAACAAAAACGCCCCGTATCCGCGGGGTCGCGACGCAGGGGCCTGGCCCGCGAGGCCGCGAATACGGACATGTTTGTTGCCCACGATCCTCCTCCTCCTCTTCCTAGCGCTGGCTGGCGAGACGCTTTGGATGTCTCTCGCTCTGGGAACTTGAGGCCTCCAAAGGGGTCCGCGGTGCGGCGCAAGCCACAGAGCCGGGCGTTCCAGCGAGAGGAAGAAGAACTGTGCGCATACGCTGAGATCGGATGGCCCTCCAGCTCGGGCTCCCCTGGATGAGTGTTCCACGAGGTGCGCCGAATATTGGGGTACGGATGAGACCGCGCCGCGACGCAAAGGACTTGGCCGCGAGGCCGCTTATACGGAATTGCTTGTTGCCCACGGCCCTCCTCCTCCCCCTGCCATCCATCCTCTTCCCTTTCTGCGTCGGGCAGACTTTGAGCGAACCTCGCGGCGCCTTGCATTTGACTCCTTTGGGTCAGCGACATCACTCCCAGACAGCATCAAGCGCAGCTCGAAATTCCTCCTCCTCCTCCTCCTCCTCCTCCTCCCGCTCCTCGCGCCGCCTGCACCTGGGAGGCCTGGGGCGGTGCCGCGCTGTCGTGCGTGGCCGCTCGCCTATCGGGAGCGGCCAAGAGGGGGGTGTCCAAAAGGTGGGGGGGTGCAAATCATGGCAGGTGGCATGTGCGCGGCCCAGCAGGGGGACCGGGGACGTAATGAAATAAGAAGAGGCGCCATGAAATCCGAGGAAATATCACGGCCCCCGCCATGATATCCCCCCCCCCCTGGTCATCACCCCCCTCTCTGCCGCCCCCGAGCCTATCAGGTCGCCTCGTCGCCTTCGCAGTGCCGCGCGGCCGCGCGCGCTGCCTGGGCCCGGGAGGCTGTCGCGCACGGCGCGCCCGCCACGGGGCGCCGACGCGGTGCGCGGCGCGGGGCGGGCCGCTGCTGGCGGGGCCCGGCCTGGGGCCCAGGGCCGGCGCACGCGAGGCTCGTGGCGCAGAGGCCGGCGCCTGGGGCGACCTCCGCGCCAGGGCCGCGGGCGGCCACGCAGAACAGCGCGGCAGCACCCCGGCCCTCCCAGGTGGGAGGGCAGGGGGAGGCGGAGGAGGAGGCGGCGGAGGAGGAGGACGAGGAGGACGAGGACGAGGAGGGGGAGGAGGAGGATGAGGAGGAGGCGGAGGAGGGGGGAGGAGGAGGGGGGGGGGAGGAGGGAGGGAGGAGGAGAGGAGGAGGAGGAGGAGAGGAGGAGAGGAGGGAGGAGGAGGAGGAGGAAGGAGGAGGAGGGAAGGAGGAGGAGGAGGAGGAGAGGAGGAGGAGAGGGAGGGAGGAGGAGGAGAGGAGGAGGGAGGAGGAGGAGGAGGAGGAGGAGGAGGAGGAGGAGGAGGAGAGGGAGGAGGAGGAGGAGGAGGAGGAGGAGGAGGAGGGGGGAAGAGGAGGAGGAGGAGGAGGAGGAGGAGGAGGAGGAGAAGGAAGAGAAAGAGGAGGAAAGCAGAGAAGGAAGAAGACCGTGTGCAGAGAGCATGTCCGTATCCGCGACCTCGCGGGCCGGGCCCCTGGGAAGGATCGTGGTGCAGAATCCGCCACTCGGGCAGGACGAGAGGGGAGGGGATGGTAAAGGGCAGGGCTGGGAATGGGCTCGCACTGGGCCAGTCAGAGACCGCCTGCACTGAACAAATTTCGTAGCTCCCCCCTGCCCTAATGATGCCCCCCTCCCGTCCGACCCGCGCCACCCGCCCCTGCTCGAGGCGCCTCGAGGCCTGGGCTGGCCAGCTCAGGCGGCCAGGGTCTCGGCCCCGTGCCGCCCGAGTTTGCCAGGGGCGCCCTGTCGCCGATCCGAGAAATTCGCGCGGCTCTCCGAGAAATTACCCCTGAAGAGGCCCCAAGAGGCCCCCGGGAAACCACAAGAGGTCCCGAAGAGTCCCAAAAGATCCCGCAAGGACCCCACAGAAGTTCGAAGACGCCCAAAAAGGCCCCCAAGACAGGCCACAAACGGGCCAGGAGCGTTTCTGCCGTGCTGTCTTCGTCGACGCCTCCATGGGACTGACGGGGGCCCGCCGCTGCTGGGCCGCCAGCTGTCTGGCTCAGAGGTGCAGCATCCGCGGGGACACCCCGACACACACAGCACACACACAGCACGCAACACACAACACACACATAGCACACATAGAACACAACACACACAACACAAGGCTGAATCTCAACGGTGTTGTTCGTTTTCGTTGTGTTGCCGTTCTCCCTCGTTTTTGTATTCAATCCGCCGTTACCGCAAAACGGAATCGAAATTCAAACGGCCCACGACACCGCCAAAACACCGTTGAGATCAACCCCTGCTCCCACACGGGGTCGAAGTAGATGGGTCGGAGTACAGTCGGGGCGTTGACCTAAGGAACCCTAAATAAGGGACGAGGCCCCTTTTTCCCATACATTAACCTTCGATTTCCGGTCGAAATCATCAGGAAAGCCTGAGGCAAGCTGTGAAACACTTAAGGAACGCGGAGCCCCTCCCCAACGAAAAGGGTTCCTTCTTCAGGGCCCCGACTGTATCACACAGCATCCCCGATGCATCGCCGATGCCTCGGCGGCCTCGGCGATGCCTCGGCGACGTCGGCGCGGCGGGAAAGGGCCCCCACATCGAGCCGCCTCGCCGATGCATCGGCGACGCGGCGCGATCCTCCGACCCCGCCTGCTCGGAACCCATGTGGGAGGCCACAGCCTCGATCGTACTGGCCTCAGGTCGGGCATGTCCCCTACGGTCGGATTGAGGACGAAACATAAACATATGGGAAAAACTGCTCAAACAAAAAGAAATGCTTCCTTTGTTAAAGAAATCCCTGCCTATGTGTTGACTGCTTTTTCAATATTCCTCCTGGGCGAAAAATTGAGGATACGAGAGAATGCTCGGAAATGGAACAACAACTCTTCTGTTGTAGAAAGACGTGCCCGGACTATTCCTTGACCACTTCTGGGTCTTCCTCCCGTACAGGATGTACAGGGACATGCCCGACTTAAGACTGGCCTGGCCACGTCTCACGGCTCCCGATGGCCCAGCGGGGGGACCAGAAACGCATTGAAATAAGAAGAGGCGCCATGAAATCTGGGGAAATACCATGGCCCCCGCCATGATATCCACCCTCGGGTCGGGCGAAAGGGGGGGATAGCAAAGAGGGGGGGGTGAGAATCAGCTCACGTAGCTGATTTTTCTGGCGCCTCCCAGCGCCGGAGGCGACTATGCATCGAGGAATGGGCTCCTCGGTGGGGCCGAAACCAGCTGCATGCAGCAAATTTCGTAACCCCCCCTTTCCCAATCCCCCCCTTTCGTCCGGCCCGACACCCCCCCTAGTCATCACCCCCCTCTTTTCCGCCCCCGAAGACTGGTCCCCCCCCCCCCACGGCAAGCCGGCGACGGCCTCGGACAGGCCCCCGCGGCCCGCCAGCGGCGGCGGCGGGGGCGCGGGGGCGCCCGCGCCCTGCAGCGGGCCCTGCCGGAGCCCCGCGCGGCGCGCGCGCCCCGCGCTGCTGTTCGGGCGGCCGTCGCGTTGAAGGAGGGGTCCCCCTCCTCCTCCTCCTCCTCCTCCTCCTCCTCTCCTCCTCCTCCTCCTCCTCCTTCTCATCTTCTTCATCCTCCTCCATTTCCTCCTCCTCCTCCTCTTCCACTTCCTCCCCTCCCTCTCCTCCTCCTGCTCCTCCCTCTCCTCATCCTCCTCCTCCTCCTTCTCCTCCTCCTCCTCCTCCTCCTCCTCCTCACCTTAGCACGGTTCTTGCCTGACGGCAGTCGCGCGGTGAGAGCTGACAAAGTCTGCTTCGACTTCGCTTTGATCAACGCGCTGGGGCCGTCGCACTGGGCGGGCGCGGCAATGGCGCCGGGTTCGCGGCCTAGGCGCACGCCGAACAAAAGCGGCAGCGCAACCGGACGGAAGAGCGATGCCGTGAGCACGGCCTCGAGTTTAGGCCGGTCGCGTTCGAGGCCCAGGGCGGCATGTCGAAGGGCCGGGACGCCGCGTCGCATCGCTGTCATCGTGGCGAGAGGAAGCGCCGCGCGAAGGTGAGCGGGGCTCGTGCCTCGTGGGCGCCAGCGGCCAGGCTAACGTGGGCCGCGGACGAGGGCGGGCAGGACATTTCGCCTGAGACGTCCTCGCCATCGGGCGGTGAAAAAAGCATTGTACGAAATTGCTTCACGGATGGTGGGTGGGTCGTTTTCAACATGTTGCTCTCGCCTTACCGCCGCGCGAATTCGTCTTAGGAATGCGCAAAAGATTCCCGGATGCAGGGCAGGCCGTTTTTTGTTATTTGGCTCTCGCCATACAGCCGCAAACATCCCCCTTCCAGTTGGCAACAGCTTCGAAGGCGGGCCTCTTCATTGGTGCGACCGTTTCTAGGATCTGTATGGTTAAAATTAGGAGCATCCTTGCACGATTCAGGATTGAAAAGACAAAACAGTCAAGTTTGGCTCGCGGTGTTGACGTCGCATGATTTTTTCTCTGGCGCGTCGTAGGACTGTCAGGACACAGCAGTCACGTTGACCCGCAGCGTTGAAGCCCAGAGAGTTCAGTTGATGCGCGATAGAGGGTTCTCAGACGGTTGTCTTCACGGTTGTCTTCTAATGGGCCACTTCCCGCAATAAACTGGACTCTTGTAAGGACGTATGAAACAGGAGCGTTGAGTGAGGGCTTATTGCAACATCGTTGGCGCGTCTTGGGTTTACGCTGGCCCTCCCCCTCCTCCTGCTCTCCCGCCTCCTCCCTCCCTCCTGTCCTCCTCCTCTCCCTCCTCCTCCCTCCTCCTCCCTGCTCCTCCGCCTCCCCCTCCTCCTCCGCCTCCCGGGAGAAGCAGAACGAGAGGCCCTTGACGGGGGGGTGTCCTCCGTCCAATCGTTGCGGGTAAAAATCACGACGGCTGGCCTTTGCTCGTTTTCGGTCTGCGGGAACCCCCACCGGCGGGCCCCTGAGGACCCTCAAGAAACGGCTCGGGATGAGAAACCGAGGGCCCCGGCCTCCAGGGATTCACGGCGTGAGAGAGACACTCCGTCTGAGGTCTGGGGGGGATCGAGGCTCGCGGGTCGCAAGCGTGTCTGGGGCCTCCTCGTCGCAACGGCTGGATCTGCGTCGAAGTTGTGGCCAGAGCACGCTCCAGGACATGCTCGGGGACCCCAGGACGCCGCGACGCAAATCACGACAGGCATGTCGGGGTCATGCGCAAACCTCCCAGTCGCATCGGGGGCGAAAGTGCGAGAACGCAAAAGTCACAGATGTTTCATTGTGTTTCCATGATGTCGGCCTTTCGAAGCATTCCTTGGAGGTCTCTTGGGCGGGGTTGGGGGCCTGTTGGAAACCTTTTTGGCATTTCCTTCGTGGGAGTCTCGTGGCCGTCGGTAAGCTGTCCTGGGCCGTCCGGGAGCTCTTGCGGGGTGTTTCGGAGCCTTCCTGGGTCATCTCGAGGCCCTCCTGGGTCTCTTTGGGAGGCCCAGCAAGGCAATCGAGGTGGGCGACGCCCTGGGGCGCGCATTCGTTAATATTTTGTGTGCGTGAAATGTCTGGAATTACTTTTTGGAAACATAATTCCCAACGCTGCAACGCACATGTTGAACACAAAAGGAAGGCAGGGCAAACCGGACAGTCGGGGACGTCCCCGCGACCGCGCTAGCGCTCCTCGTTCAGGGGCGGCGAATTCCTGCGCACCCCTTCTTCGCATCAGGCCACGCCTGCCACGTTCTGCGCAACTGGCGTGTGGATAGAGACTTCGCTCAAGGACCACCTCCTGCACACCGTCCCTGGGTCGCGACTGCGCTGCACCTGACAAGCCCTGCGACCTAGACTGGATCGAAACCGCGGTCAATGATCACTGAATGTACGCCCTCACCAGTGCCGAGAAAGTGCTGCCGCCAGCCTGGCCCTGCGGAAGGGCAGCGCTGGCAGGGCTGGGGACAAACAGCTGTTTCACTGTAGTGCTGGGCCACCATGAATTGGGGAATTCGTGTTCCACGTGCGTCCCCTGCGTACCGCGCGCAACAGTGGTGGCCCAACGGCGGTTTTGGGGTCACCCGACGACTTGTTACACGAGTTGCTGCACTCGTGCTCCATGCGTTTCCCCTGTGTGTATCGCGCACCGCACAGGTGATCCACTGGCGGGTGGGTTACCCAAAAACTTGTTGAGAAACCAAAATATGTCACTGGCATTCTGGGCCTCCACCTGAGTTGGTGCATTCGTACTCCACACGCTGCCCCTGTGCAGCGAGCGTCGCACAGGTGATACACCAGCGGGTGGGTCAACCGAAAACAATGCTTTTCCCTAGCATTTTGGCCCTCCACATGAATTCGCGCATTCGTGCGCCACACTGTCCCTCCGTGTAGCGCGCACCACAAAGGTGACCCACCAGCGGGTGGGTCACCCTAGAACTAGTTGGCAGTCTGGGCCTCAACATGAGTTGGTGTATTCGTGCTCCACACGTTTCGTTTGTGTAGCGCGCCGCACAAGTGACCCACCAGCCAGTGGATCGCCCGAGAACTGGATGAGAACAACCGAACACTTCACCAGCATGTTGGGCCTCAACATGACTTGGTGCATTCGTACTCCACACGCTTGTCCTGCGTAGCGCGCACCGCAAAGATGTCCCACCAGCGGGTTGGTAAACACGATCACTGCTTGAGAAAAATACTGCGTTTCACTGGCATTCTGGGCCTCAAGATGAATTCGCGCATTCGTACTCCACGCGCTTTCCCTGTGTCAGCGAGTGCCCCCCACGAGCGATGTTTCGCCGTAAGCCCGTGGGGGACTCTCGCCGAAACATCGCCGATGCATCGCCGATGCTTCGGTGATGCACTGGTGACCTCGGCGATGCATCGGCGACGTGGGCGTGGGTAACATCGGGCTCCACATCAACACGCGATCCTTGGGCCCCACCTTTTCGGACAGCACATGGATGGCCTGGGTCTTTGACACCCCCGACCAATATGCACCGGCCCTTTTTTCGGGGCGTCCAAGAGAGGGGCACCCACGAGGAGGGTCCGCCAATCATGGCCAAAGGCATGTGCGCGGACCAGGGTGGCCAATGACGCGTATTGAAAGAATGAGGTGCGTGAAATCCGAGGGGAAGCCATGGCGCCAGCCATGATATCCCCCCCTCCCAGTCATGACCCCCTCTTCGTCTGGAGGCATCCCAAATTGGGTCCGAGCAGATGGGGTCGGAGGAGCGCGCCGCACCGCCGATGCATTGGCGATCCATCGGCGACGACGGCGCGGAGAAGAAATCGGGCTCCACGTCGAGCCGCATCGCCGATGCACCAGCGATCGTAGGATAGCGACGGGCAAGCGAATCAGCTCACGCAGCTGGCGCCTCCTGGCGCCGGGAGGTGCCCGCCCTGGCGCCGGGAGGTGCCCGTGCACCGAGGCATGGGCCCGACGGCGGGGAGGACCCCAGCTTCATATGCAGCAAATCTCGCAACGCCTCTTGTTCCGTATCCCTATCGTGTCGTGCGGCTCGACCCGCCCCTACCCAGACATCCGACGCCTCGATTCTCTCGACACACGGGCGAGCCCCCCAACCTCCCGACCACTTCCCCGGGACCAACTCTTCATCCCGAGTCGCTTCTTGACGGTTCCGGGGCCCGGCGAGGGCCCCGAGAGGCCAAGAGTTACGAAAAACCTCCGCCCCGATCTTTTTTCAACACCACGCCCGAGGTCTGGGCGTCTACTCGGACCGCGAACCTGGGAGGCAGAAGTGGTCGCCCCGGACACTTGGGCGGCCTGGGAGCCCCCCAGCCCCGCCCCGATCTTGCGCACGGCTCCGGGCTCCGGCCGCTCCCAAGGCCGCACCTTCTCCGGCGCGGCAGCCTCCGGGCGAGGGCGGGCTGCTGCTGCTGCTGCTGTCGGGCCCTGGCTCCTGCTCCTGCCGACACCACGCGGATCGTGCAACGTTCGTTTTCACCCTCCTCCTCCTCCTCCTCCTCCTCCTCCTCCTCCTCCCTCCTCCCTCCTCCCTCCTCCCTCCTCCCTCTCCCTCCTCCCTCCTCCCTCCTCCCTCCTCTCCTCCTCCCTCCTCCCTCCTCCTCCTCCCCTCCCTCCTCCCTCCTCCCTCTCCTCTCCTCCTTCCTCCTCCTCCTCCTCCTCCTCCTCCTCCTCCTCCTCCTCCTCCTCCTCCTCCTTCTCCTCAGCTCAATCAAATCATCCCAGATATTGGAGTCGCGCCAGACTCGTTTGGGCCTGTAGGAAGTATCTTTCAAGCTCGCGGGTCCCTCACGACCATCTGGGACAACATGGGCACGAACCTACGGTACCTGCTCAATTTCGATGGGCTGTCACGGGAGAGACCAGCGGAAACCCGAGATGCGTCAATGATCCTGCTGTAGATTCTCAAGCTCCAGATCTCCCGCTCACGAGTCCCTGCAGAACCGATGCCAACAAAAAACATCCTTCAAGAAGACGAGACCCTCCGCCGGCCAACACACACACACACACACACACACACACACACATCCGAGAGCACCCTCCCCCAGAACGCACAAAAACATCAGACCACACACGAAGAACACAAAGGTACCCTCCCCGAACCGACCTCCATCTCACACCTCGATCCGACTGTAAACCCGAGATTGGGGAAACCGAAAGGTACCGATGCCGCTACTCCCCAGACCTCTCCTGGGGCGCGTTCTGACCAGGATTTCGAGGCGAATCCAGCGGTGGCGGAGACAGAGGCCCAGGAGGCCCCAAAAAGGGAACAACGAGAAGAGGGTAGAGGCATGGGTATCTTTTCCTCCTCTGAGAGCTGCGTCGATCATGCTGTGCTGTAGACTCTGGTGTTCCACATCCCCCGCTCACGAGCCCCTGCGCCGGAAGAGGGCCCCCGCTTGACAGACGAACGCCCGGGGGAAGGGCCCGCCACTCGGGCGACGCCAAGGGCGGTTTCTCTCTTTGCGCAGAGCAGCCCCCCGCCGTGCAGAAAACGGGGGCGCACGAGGGGGGGGGAGGTGGCATCAGGCAAACGCGGACGGATTGAAAGTCCCGAGGCCCCCGTGGAGGGACCCAGTGGGGCCCGAAAACTACAAAAGACATGACGACTCGTTCCGCTCAGGACCCACGTGCTTCATAGCGAGACGAGGGAGAGGACGAAGACGAGGATGCACACTGCAGGGCAAGGACGGCCAAACAATGACACCTTGGAGCTAAACTTAAGTCGGGCCTGTCCCCCTACAGGGGGATTTTCGACGAACGATAAAAAAATAACCAAAAATAGCCAAACATAATCAGAAAATCGTCAGAGGACTATTTTCAATATTTATTGGCCTTTTTGGGGTATTTTCAAATCTTTTTCATTTTTCGTCGAAAATCCAAATGTAGGGGGACAGGCCCGACTTAAAGCTAAACCCCGCAAGGACCAGCCGAGAAGCATGCCACCAGCCACGTCTCCCCCCGGAGGAGGAGCGAAGCGGGTCACTTGCCCTCAGCGAGCGGATTGCTCGACTACACCAAGCGTAAGGTCGAGATGCCAGGCCTGGCCTGCCTGCGCGTCTCGTAGGAGGAAGAATAGGGAGAGGAGGAGGAGGTTGAGGAGGAGGAGGAAGAGGAGGAGGAGGAGGAGGAGGCGAATTAAGAGGAGGAACGAAAGGCGAAGTAGGAAGAGGAGGAGAAGGAGGAGGAGGAAGCGGAGGAGGAGGAGGAGGAGGAGGAGGAGGAGGAGGAGGAGGAGGAGGAGGGGAAGGAGGAGGGGACGAAAAACGACGCGGAGGAGGAGGAGGAGAAGGATGTGCAACGCCCGTCAAAGGAAACAAATCAAGGAGAAAAAAACAAAAAAACTAGGGGGTGCGACGCACCTCGGGCGGGTCCCGCCGACAAGGTGCCCCCCCCCCCCCCCGACATCACCTGAGCTCAACCTCGGGTTGTCGACAGGGCGCCCCGCCGCCACCCAAAAACCACCTCAAGCTGGGCGTCGCGCGCGCCGCGCACGCGCCTCGGCCCAGGCCCACAGAGGCTTGGATGCCGATGCGCTCAGCCCCGCTGCGATCGACAACGCCAAACGCACGGAGGACGACCGAGAGGTCAACACGAGACGGCGGACCTTGCTGCAGGAGCAGGGGATCCTTCCCCTCGACTGGCCCCCTGCCACGGTTTCTCCGAAACGGCTCGTCCAACGGGCCCACGATGAGCACGACGGCGAACGACCATCCCCAAACGCCACTTCAGGTCTAGCCCGTCAAGTAAAGCTGCCCAAACAATTCCTCACGGCTTGGGCTTTGCCTTCCGGGAAGTGCCGGAAACTGAAGCACAAATCGCCCGCGCTGGCCTGGATATGCCGCATGCTGCCAAGACGAGCGGCAAAAGAGCAACGGCTTTGACCTTCCGTCTTCTACTGACGCCTCGAGCACCTGACAGTCCTGGATGAGCCACGGGCCCTGGGGCGCGAAATCTCGAGAAGCCCTGGGCCCCGAACCATGCTGAAACTCCTCGGCCCCGTCCCCCGAACCAGGGCCCGACTCTGGGTGGGGCACATCAGGGGCCAAGCCCCAAGGTTAATTCGTTGGCGGAACCAAGAATCCCAACTGCCTCTGGGCCCGTGAGCAGACATCAGCTTCGCAATTTTACCTTCGCCGGGTTGGCTGGCGGCGAAGGCATCGGTGCCTGGGTCGACGCCCATTGCTGGGAATGCCTCCTGCATTGGTGGCGCTGGCGCAGGCGAGCGAGCCGGCCCAATCTGGCTGCGCTGTCATAGACTCTGAGCCTGATCCTGCGCGGGCGCGCCCGCGAGGGAACTTTGCCGTCGGCCCGAGCGCGCCAACGAGGCGACCCCTCGATCGCGCATCCTGAGCGTCGCAGCTGGCCCGTCTCGCGCGCGAGCAGTGCTGCGTTGTTCGGGAAGGCCGCGTTATAGTGCTCCGAGGTCGCGGTCAGCTGCGCACTGGACACCCCGACAACGCGCGGGAGGAGGGCGCCGAGGCTCTCGTGGCCGAGCGTTGGCTGACCAGCTTGTTGCGCGCGGTTGCGGGGGGTGCAGAAACGCGCGCGGAGCCTGTTGATGCGCTCTTGCGGCAGCCCCTTGCCGAGCTGTGCGTCGGGGAGGTCATCGGCGGCGCTGGGTCGCCGTTGATGTGGCCCCCCTGCGTCGAGACAGCCGGCGGCCACACGCCCGCGCGCTCGCGGGCCACGTCGGCAAGCCGAGGCGCGGCGCACGCCGCCCGGCGAAACGCGCCGGGACCCACCCCCCGCCGCGCCCATCGCTGGAAAGGAGCGCGAGATTGCCGCTCGGCCCTCCGAGCGCGGATGCGTCGCGCAGTGCCGCCACCTGGTTGCGCTGTGGGCCGCGGCAAGAACGCGCGCCCAGATGGCCGCCCAACCGGAATGCAGGTCGCTGGAGGCCGGGGGCCCACCGACGACGTCTCTCCGACCATGGGCCTCGGAGCTGCCGTGGGTTTTTGTTTTGAGTGCGTTCCTCTTCGTCCAGCGCATTGGGCGCAATCCTGTGCCGCGTCTTCGTGGGGGCCACCGAACGAACTCGGGGCATCCCACTGCATAGTTGCGGGCGCGCCCTTCTCGCGTCGTTGTGGCGCTCGATGAACATAGGGCATCCCGCGCAACATGGTTGCGGGAATGCCCATCGCGCGTCGCGTCGCCATTGCACTTGCTACTGCCGCCCGTGCGATTGCCCGGAGGGGTGCGCATCGGGATCTCGCCCTGCCAGTTTGCATGGAAACAATGCGACTGGCGAAATGTCACACTGCGGGAGATCGGAAACACATTGTCCCA